TCCAGTACCTGTTGCATCTGCGTCTACTGACTCCAGCTCTTAGTGGCCTACCTTGAGTTTTATGATCTTTGTTTATGAGTTCATTACTTGATCTCACTTTATGAGCCTTGTACGACTTGAATGGAAGGCTTTCTTATGGAGAAGATTTGCTTCTGCATCTGCCAGTAGCCAGAGGGCACCAATCACCCGAGACCAGTTTAGGCCTGAAGAAAAATGGCCGGAGGGCAGCACTTTTCTGTGGATGCTGAACGAGGGACCAGTGGTGAGGGGTGGAGCTTTGCCTACGGCTCGGTGTCCACGGTGCAGTGCTCCCTCCAACCTCTGTGCAGTGCTCCCTCCAACCTCGGTGCAGTGCTCCCTCCAACCTCGGGGCCTGCTCCCTTACTTGAGTGACCCTCCCCTTACTCTTTTGAGTCCAGAAATATCTCAAAAAGTATATCCCCAACAGGCCATCATTATTCTTATTCGGAGGACCTTTCAGAGCACGGAGTGAGGCTCAGTACAAGAGGCAGAAGTCAGCGTTCACATTTACCTGCAGTCTCAGCCTTGCGATGGGGTTTCATTCAATAAGTCAAATACCTTTCTTTTTTTCGTTTTTATTATGATGGCCTTTTATTACCAGTATCATAAATCTAGCCATGGTTTGAACAGTAAATCATAACATTGAATATTTTCCAGTGAACCAACTTACAATGAAAATATTATGGTTAAATTATGTCCCATGCCCCCCTCATTATGTATTGTCATTCCGAACCTCTCTGCCTGTGGTCATAATCCCATTGGGAATGTGAATGAGACAACATTAGTGTCGCCTGTGTCTGGAGTTCCTCTTTTGAGCTATCAAAGAGATGAAACTAGGAAGGGAGAGAAGCGGAGATGGGGGAAGACAGGTGCGCCACAGCCTAGTCATCTGAAGCTCGTTTGAAAGCCGCAGCTACGAGTCAAGGCCCCTTCTTTCCTGCAGAGTCACAGGGAGAAAGCCTTCCCTGGTGCCAGCACCCTGAATTTAGACTTGTAGCCACCTAAACTGTGGGAAAGGAAATTTCTGTTTGATGAAGCCACCCATTCAGGGTAATTCCAGTTAGGCCAGCGTGAAGATATTTGAGATGGGTGAAATGGGCAAATGACACGCTGCAGCGACTGCGACCAACGAGACATTAGAGAAACGAGTGACTGGATGGCGGTGAGTGGGCCTGGGTAAGCTGATCGAGTTGTAAGCTGCAGACGCCGACTGAGCTTTGACTGTGTGCCCCTCTGCTGAGCGCGTCGCCTGTGCTAGAGCAGTCAGCTCTCACAGCAGCCCCCATCCGGTTCCAGATGAGGCCCCGGTGGCACTGAGAACAAGGTTCCTGCTTGGCCCTGTTCCCACACAGCTAGCTAGTGCTGGAGCTAGGACAAACATCCTGGTGTCTTGCTGTCGCTATCCCCTAGGGGACTCTGTTGGTGGACTTGTGCGCATCACTGTGATCTAGTGCCGCTGTACCAGAAATCCCCTATGTGGGTGGCTCTAGCAAGCACATTGACTTTTCAGCATTTAAGAAGCTAGAAGGCCGAGCGCCTGCACGTGGCGAAGGCCCTCCAGAGCCCTGTGTCTCTGCCCCTGCTTCCTGGCCCTGGCGATCTCCAGGTGTCTTGGCAGCTGCCTTCCCCCATTTCTGCTACTTTTGCTTGCGTGTTTCATCTTTGTATGGCAGGCAGCACACCCTACACTAATCCTTCTCCATGAACATAACAGACAGCCCATTTCCAAGTGGGAGTACTACGACAGGCAGACAGGATTTACAACCTCTCTTCCTTGGGGACACAGTGCGATTCATAGCGGATGAGTATTTGGATGATGTCTGGGGATCATTGTCAAACAACAACTCACTGCCGTGGAGTCGATGCCGACTTACAGTGGCCCTCTAGGACAGGGTAGAGCTGCCCCTGAGTGTCCGAGACTAACTGTTCACAGGAGTCGGTGGCCCAGTCTTTCTCCCATGGAGCAGCTGGGGACCCGCAGCCCAACACGGTACCGCTGTGCCACCAGAGTCACTGTGAACATGTGCTTAATCCAGAGTGGCACCACCCTTGCATCTACGCATATGAACATCAGTGTATGTGACTGCCTGCAGGTGGCCGCACTGACCACTTTGTTTGAAATTGTACACTCACCTGCCTGACCTGTCTCAATCACTTAACCAAGGAACTACATACTGTACTACTTTTGTTCATGTCTGCTTTCCCAGGAGAGTGTGAGTTCGTGCCGAGTGGCACGGTGCTGGCAGGGTGGGTGTGCAGCGAGAGCCCAGATTGAGTAGGCCTTGTGAAGGTGACGGCGGTGGGGGTGGAGATGGTGACAAGTGACCAGATTCAGGACACATTTGGAAAGGAGAGTTGGCAGGGCTTGTTGGTAGTTTGGATGTGCAACCTCAGAAAGTGAGGGTGCATGACTCCTTCCCGGGTGAGGTGGGCAACGGAGGAAAGGGGGCACACTGAGGAGAAGGAAGGGTCCAGTGTGTGATGCCAACAAACGCCCCGATGGGAGAGACAGAGTTGGATGTGAGTCTGGCGTTCAGGAAGGTTCTAGCGATGAAAGTGTCCGTGTTGTTGGCTTATTTAAACCAACATTTAAAGAAGACCATGTTCAAAGGAGGGTACATTAGAGGTGGGGAAGGCTGCTGCTTTGTCTCGGAAAGGGATGAGGTCCGGACCAGGGAAGTAGCTAGGGGCAGGTCTTGGAAAAGCTTGGAGGCAAAATTGGCTGGCTAGGGAGCCACTCCTTTGTGACACTGGTCTGAAGGCGTGGTGGATTTACCCGCTGCCTGTGGTCCCCAGGCATAGCGTAGGATGGGGACCCTGTTAGATCCATGGCTAGATGGTGGGTGAATGCCTCCATCACCTCTTCCTTCCCAGCTCCCATTAAGGAACCAAAAAAGGTGGTGCCCAAAGCAGCCCTCTCTACTGCCAAGAAGCTGGTGGCAGCCACCAGTGGGCCTGGAAAAGCCAAGTAAGTGGCAGGATGGGAGTGGGAAAGGGGAAGGGCACAAAGGAAAAGCCCCCTGCCTACCCCAGCTCTGGCCCCTGGGCCTGATGAGGGTGTGTTCCAGGCCATCTAGGACATCCAGTGGGGACAATCAGAAGCGACCCTCCCGTGACTCAGGTAAGGCCTTCCTCCCTCCCTCCTGTGGGGCTGGGGTGCGGTGTCTCTGCCTAACTGGGCCAGAGTGGCTTATACCCCTCAGCCTCTGCTCTCCCAGGCTCCAGTGGCAGATTCCTCGGGGGGACACCTGGCCACCCTGGCAGAAAGCGATTCAAGGCCCAGGTTCCCCGGCAGCGCTCTGTACCCAGTCAGGTGAGAGCCCAAGACGTGTGGGAATGGCGTGGTGGGCAGCCTGTCTCAGGTGTGGTATGCCGTGGATCATAGGTGAAGGGGAGCCAGACCTGCAGGGTCTCCAGACCAAAGCTGAGACCCCCACCCCCCATCACCACAGGAGAAAGAGCACACCAGGCTGGCAAAGGCCCCTCCTGGGAGTAAAATTCCTGCTCTGGACAAGACCCCCAAGCCAGAGAAGACCCTGCATCCAGATAAGGCTGCTGCTCCCGAGAAGACTCGGACACCTAAGAAAGTCCCCACCTTTGAGAAGACCCCAACCCCAGACAAGGGCCCCACTCCAGAAAAGGCCCCAACTCCAGATAGGGCTGCCAGCCCAGAAAAGACCCCAGTCCTCAACAAGACCCCCACCTCAAAGAAGACCCCAGCCCCAGACAAGGTCCCCATTCCAGAAAAGGCTCTGACCCCAGACAAAGCCTCTACCCCAGAGGCAGCCCCAACTCCGGACGTGGGCCTTGCTCCAGAAAA